GTGTTAGTCTTTGTGCCTTATTTCCCTCTTCTGTGCATGTGTTCCCATCCTTGTGTGTCATTCCATATTTTCTCCATCTATTGTGTTTATCTGTCTTCCTAGACCTTCTCGTTTCTCTGAGTGTTGTGTCCTCCCAGTCACCGTGTCATGTTATGATGTTGTGTCGCCCTTTGTGTCTTGTCTCTCTCTCTCTCTCCCTCTCATGCTCCCTCCTGTCGTCTCCTGTGTGATGTTTCTTCATTTCCTGTTTTATTGTGAAAGTCTCGTATTTCCATGTTCAGTGTGTCTAGTTGTGCTTCCCCTGTGGCGTCAGGTTCATTCGTGTCAGCTGTGTTCCCCGTGTGTTCTTACTTCCCTCGTTATCCTCCTGTGTATTTATGTCAGCATCTCCCTCATGGTTGTGTGTGTCCCCGTGTGCCCGGTTCATATAATTTCCCAGTCTAGTTTTGTTTTTGTTTGTTTTGCCATTTAGCAAAAAAAGCTGTGTCTGAGTCTGCTTTCGCCTCCGTGAGTCTGCATTTGGGTCCTTTCCTGCCTGCTGCACAGCCGAATCATGACAATCACATTACACCATGTAACATATTATAAAAAATGAGTGGTGCAAACTAAAATTGTTTGCATTGCTAAATGTCATTAAACTCAAAAGAACTGTATGTTTTCTTTTCTGTGTTTAGTATGCTAAAGCTGAGCCACTTCTCCTTTGTGACTTCCCAATTGTGATGGACCTGCAATCAAAAAAATGGGTTTTTGACTCTAATTCTGAATACACCAAGATGGTAAATGACATCCTTATATGAATTTGGTGTGATACAATACTCTGTTTAAAATACACTTTAAAGTAAGTAATCAGGTAGGCAAAACAAAAACGTGTTGAATCTTGAACTTTTTTTCCAGACAATGCAGATAAGTTACGACTTGGAGAATTTCTTTGACTACCTGGGTATTTTTGATGATTATGATGAAGATGTTTTTTTACTGGACCTGAGGCGAGCAACCATTTTGGAAGACACCTTTGAACAACTGGCGGATGCTTGTGACACAGACTACAAGAAGCCACTTAGGGTAAAAACAACAAGGCACAAGCCAGCTCAAAATGTTTGCATTGTTGTGTACACATTGTTATATAAACAATATTTTGGCATACAACAAATTTTGTTTACTTTTTATAATTTTGTCTTGTAGGTCTTGTTTGATGAAAATCCAATAACCGATGACGTCTACAGGAAAGACTTTTTTTATGAAGTCTTTCATGACTTGGTCTCAGCTGAATCTGGGATGTTCACGTTCAATGACTCTGAAACACTGGCATGGTTCTCCTCAAAAGTAAGAGTTACTAAGTTACTAAAAATATAATTTAAATAGACCGAGACTGATTTCTAAAACTATTTAACAATTGTGATTGCTGATTTATTATTCCTTAATTCAAGAAAACAATTTCAAATGTCTCTACTGTCAGCATCAGGCAACTCAGGAAGACCAGCGTTTCTTCCTGTTTGGAGTTCTGTGTGGATTGGCCCTGTACAACCAATGCATCATCCACTTACCCTTCCCACTGGTGCTGTTCAAGAAGCTGCTCGGTGTAAGGCCTTCACTGGAGGATTTGATAGAATTCAACACAAGTGTTGGAGAGTAAGG